TGCAGACGGCGAAGCACACGGGTGGCCCCCGTAGACCCGCGGCCTGCATGATCTCCTGGGTCGCGTCGTGGAGCACCTTGCGCCACTCCTTGTGGCGGACCCCCGCGTCGTCGCAATCGATCCAGCACGCGCGGAGGTCGCCGCCCCGGCCCACAACCTCAATCGGCAAGGGGCGCACGGGGGCGACAGGCCCAGCAGCAGTCGGGCCGTGTCCGAGCAGGCGCTTTTCCAGGGCGGCCTCGTCTCTACGGCTGCGGTCGGCCCCCATCGGAGCTTCGCCCCCCGCCGCTCGCCAGCGCGGCCGACCTCCACCAGCTCCACCGGGCGGTAGCCTCCAGAGGCGTCGGCGGCGATCGCGAGGCGGCCCCGGCGGCAGTAGCCCCCACCCAGGAGCACCTCGGCGCCGAAGGCGAACTCGCCCTCGGGCTCGGCCAGGTCGCTGCTCAGCCAGGCGAAACCATCGGGAGTCAGGGGAGGCGTGGCAGCACCACCATATCCTAAGTGGCGGCGGCTCCGAGGGCGCCGGCAGCGGGGGCGGCCCAGCCTCTGGCAGGCTCTGCTTCCCACGCCGACGCCGGCGCGGAGCGTGCACCACTGAATAGGGCGGCAGAGGCAGGCGGCAGCCCTGCCAGTCGACGGCGTCTGGAGCCTCATCGGGCCCGCTGGCGTCGGCGAGACTGACCGCCTCCGCGCGCGCCCGCTTGAACAGGCCAAGCAGATCCTCAACCTCCAGAGGCCTTTCGAAGGCCACCACCTGCGGCACGCCCCGTGGATAGCCCTTTCGCCCCGTGAAGAGCGCCGAACTGCTGTGCGCGTCGCTACTCTCAACCCTGGGACGAACTGGCCCGCGCCCTCCTATGTATTCGTCGGCCAGAAGAAGATGCGCTCGTGGGCCCAGCCCGGGTCCTCCGCGAACGTGACCAGGCCGCGAGCACCTGGCGCTGGATTCGAGACCGCCTCGAACCTCGATCTTGGATCTAGGCGGACCATTGCTTTGCGAGGCGGGGATGTATCCATATACACCGCCTGGGAGCCGACGTCCTGGTGCCCCAGCGGGCGGTGGATATGGATATATTTCGGCCCCCACGGGCCCGAAAATGTCCATATCCAGTGCCTGCCGAGGCTATGAAAACTGACTCTCCAGGCGGTGGTCATGTATAAACTTCCGCATCGGATGCCTGACCTGGAGGCGAGTCTCTCCAAGCGGCAGCCGCCTGCGAGCCTCAGTGGCCCTGCGAGCGCAGCCATGCCAGACACGCGCCACAGCCCCGAGTTCCGTGACCAGCAGCAGCAGCAGCAGCAGCAGCAGCAGCCCGCTGGGCACCGCCACCGTTGAGCCCGCCACGCCCTTGCCCAGGACGCGGAAACTCTCTGGCCCCAGCTCGGGGTACTCGCACGGCGCGGGCGGCGCCACTACGGAACAGGGAATGGAGGCCCCAGCACTCGAAGTGGTGCTGGTCACCGTGGTGGTGGTGGTGGTGGTGCTGCTGGTCCAGAGTCCCCACGAGACCATCTGGGCAAGCGCCGCCGCCCGACCAGCTCGCCAGGTGGACGAGCACGCCCGTCAGCAGGGCGAACACAATCGCGGCGCTGCCCGTGGTACCCGCAAGCATGCTAGGACTTTTAGCTTGCGCAACGTTACGGCGACAGGCGAAACACTCTCAGCAAGCACCTGCGACGCAGACGGCGACGACGGCGGCGAAGACGACGACGACGACGACGACGACGACGACGACGACGACGACGACGACGACGACGACGACGGCGACCACGACGACGGCAACGAAGACGACGACGATGACGACGACGACGACGACGACGACGACGACGACGACGACGACGACGACGACGACTACGACGACGACGACGGCGAGGACGACGGACAAGACGACGATGTGACGACGGCGACGACGCCGGCGCCGGCGCCGACAACGACGACGACGACGACGACGACGACGACGGCCACAACGACGACCACGATAATGACGACGACGACGCCAGCGCCGACGCCGGCGCTGGAGGGGGAGGTGTCGGGTTCGAGGGGGAAGGGGAGGGGGCGTACCGCTGGTTCTGTTCGACGGCGGAGGCGACGGCCACGACGACGGCAACGACGACGACGACGACGACGACGACGACGAAGGCGGCGACGACGATGACGACGACGGCGATGACCACGGCGACAACGGCGACGACGGCGACGACGATGACGACGACGACCGACGGCGACGAGGGCGACGACGGCGGCGACGACGACGGCGACGACGACGGCAAAGACGACGGCGACGGCGGCGACGGCGACCCGGAAGACGACGAGCCCGACGACGACAACGACGACGACAACGACGACGTCGACGAAGAAGACGACGAGCACAACGACAACAACAAGAAGGCTGACGACGACGAGGACGGCGACGACGACCAAGACGACGACGACGGCGACGACGACGACGACGACGATAGCGACGGCGACGACGGCGACGACGACGACCAAGACGACGACGACGGCGACGGCGGCGACGGCGACAACGAAGACGACGAGCCCGACGACGACAACGACGACGTCGACGAAGAAGACGACGAGCACAACGACAACAACAAGAAGGCTGACGACGACGACGACGACGACGGCGACGACGACCAAGACGACGACGACGGCGACGACGACGACGACGAAAACGACGACGACGACGGCGGCGACGACGGCGACGACGACGACGACGACGATAGCGACGACGACGACGACGGTGGCGACGACGACGACGACGACGACGACGACGACGACGACGACGGCAAAGACGACAAAGACGACAATGACGACGACGACGGCGACGACGACGACGGCGACGACGACAGCGACGACGACGACGACGACGAGGACGACGACCGGCGACGACGACGATGACGACGACGGCCTCGACGGCCGGCGACGACGACGACGACGACCGACGGCGACGACGACGACGACGACGACGACGACGACGACGACGACCGACGGCGAAGGCGGCGACGACGAAGACGACGACGACGGCGACCACGGCGACGGCGGCGAAGACGGCGACGACGACGACGACGACGAGGACGACGACGACGACGACGACGGCGACGACGACGGCGATGACGACGACGACGACGACGAGCACGACGGCGGCGAAGACGACGACAACGACGACGACGACCACGACGACGACGACGACGACGGCGACGACGACGACGACGGCGACGAAGACGACCACGACGACGACGATGACGACGACGACTACGAAGACGACGGCGACGACAAAAACGACGACGACGACGACGACGGCGACGGCGGCGACGACGACGACGACGACGGCGACGACGACGATGACGACGAAGACGAGCACGACGACGAAGACGGCGACGACGACGACGACGACGACGACGACGACGACGACGACGGCGACGACGACGACGACGACGACGACGATGGACACGAAGACGACGACGATGTGACGGCGACGACGCCGGCGCCGACAACGACGACGACGACGGCCACGACGACGACCACGATGATGACGTCGACGACGACGCCGGTGCCGGCGCCGGCGCCGGAGGGGGAGGAGTCGGGTTCGACGGCGCCGAATGTTCGGGGGGGGCCGGCCCTTCCTGGGTCAAACGCGCCGCCGAATGTTCCCAGGGCAAGCGCCCGTGAAACGCGCTCCCTCACACATGAGCATACTGAAGCTCATGACTTATAATACTACGGCAGGACGACGGAAATGTGCGATCACCCGAGGCACTCGAATGCTGAAGTGCAACCACTACTCGCATGGAAAAATTGTCCTTTTTCAAAACTGCCATTATGATTTCAACTATCACTGCAACTCGCGACCACGATCCGATAGCCCTGAGATCTGAGATTCCAGCAGCTCCACAAATCTAAGTCGGCACCTTTTCAAATCACAATTTCGCTCTGAACAAAAAACGTACAGCTCACAACCATGGAGCTAAAGTTGAAAAACTGTTCCACCGGAGTTTCGAAATGCGCACTGTCGCGCCGCTGTCGGCCACATTGAATAGATGGCGGCCACTCTTGAGCAAGTGTACTTTTCATACGGGTCGAACTTCAATGTGAGCACAGGTGCACTTTGTTGAAGCACCTAGGCGGTTCCATTGGCCACTTCCTGCGGCGCAGCCGGCAGGCTCTGACCCTTTCGGCCCTCCCGGGTCTCGGACATCTGGCCGGAAGGAGGGACGAGGACCGCTCCATTGGCCTCTCGCCGCGGTGAACAACAGTGCACGCACGCACGTATGGTTGCGGGCTTGGAGAGCAAGCGTGCTGCAGAATCAGTGGCGCGTGCAAGGGTTACCTCGGCCCTCCTCAATTGAAGGGGCCCTGGGACACACAAATGAATACACACAAATAAAAATATCCCCCATATTTTCCCATATTTTCTGGGTTTTTGTCTTCCCCCCCACTTCCCATATTTTCCCATATTTTCCTAGGAAATCGACGAGTCATTGTGTCTGTGTGTTTTTTCCCCTCCTCCTCATTGACGCCTGGGGGGGGGGGGGTTGTGAGGTGGCAGCCGAGCAGGGCGGCGGGCGAAAGAAGGGCGGGCGAAAGAAGGGCGGAGGAGGAGGAGGAGGAGGAGGAGGAGAGGGTAGAGGGTGGAGGAGGAGGGTGGAGGGGGAGGGTGGAGGAGGGGAGGAGGAGGAGGAGGAGGAGGAGAGAGGAGGGAGGAGGAGGAGGAGGAGGAGGAGGAGGGTGGAGGAGGAGGGTGGAGGGTGAGGAGGAGGAGGAGGAGGAGGAGGAGAGGGAGGAGGGGGAGGTAGGAGGGAGGGGGAGGAGGAGAGGGGGAGGAGGAGGAGGAGGAGGAGGAGGAGGAGGAGGAGGAGGAGGAGGAGGAGGAGGAGGAGGAGGAGGAGGAGGAGGAGCAGGAGAGGAGGAGGAGGAGGAGGGGGGAGGAGGAGGGGGGGGGGTTGGGAGGAGGCAGCCGAGCCAGGGCGGCGGGCGAGAAAGAGCGGGCGCCGGACGCCTCGCAGAACTCGCGCAGGAAGCGGCCCTCGTTGGGGTCGCTGGCGCCGCAGAGCTCGCGCAGGATGGGATCTGGGGGCTGCCAGGCGCTGCTGCCTACTCTGAAGGGGCGATTTCGTACGTAGTAAAAGGGAGGGGGGTCACATTTCGGGGGGGGTCTCTGCCAGGCTATCTTGGAGGGCCTGGGGGGGGTCTGGGGTAACGATGTTCTGGAGGGCTCTCCCACGGGGGGGAGGTCTGAAGTGGCTTGTCTTGGAAGGTCCAGACCCCCGCCCTTTTATTACGAAAACTGGAGTGCACCGCTGCCAAATTCGACGTCCAAGCCAATGCACATGGCATGGCATGGCGGGGGTCGCGGGGAATGAGATTCTTGCCCTGAGGGTCCAGCACGCGACCAAAAAGCACAACGCCAGGTCCTGTGGTTTCCTGCGTACCCTCTCGAAACAGTGAGTCCAGGTCGCGCGAGCGGCAAGGCGAGGGACGTGGAGAGAGGGGGGAGGAGGGGGGAGGGAAGAGGGGGGGACCAGGTGCGCTCGCTCAACAAATGACAACCTACTCTTCCCTCCATCCCTTCACACTGCGTTGAATCGTTTTCTATCCGCCGGCTGGGGTGTCCTAGAGGACCTTGATCCCCAAATGACAGTTTCAGGATTTGACCCATCGTCTCCTGTGAAATAAGAACGGAGGCTCTTCTACAGGAGAAGGACTAGGAGGCGGATGAGCAGGAGGAGGAAGAGAACGAGGGAGAAGGACGCAGGATCAGGAGCCGAGAGCGCCATTCTGAACTACGGAAACCAAAGGTCAATCCTGGCTCATTGCCAGCGCTACAGAAGAACCGATGATGTCACGCGATGAAAGCACCAAAAGACAGGCTAACCACTGAAAACTTGCGTGCTGTAGATAGCAAACACGTGATGGAGAGGCGGGGCATCGTCAGGGGCGCGAGGAGAGCGGTAATCATAAGAATTGCGGGGGATGAGCAAGGGAAGGAAAACCAGACGGAGGGGGAAGGCACAGGAGAAGGAAAGGCAACCTATTCAACACATTGGCCTGCCACGCACGAGACTGTTGACTGCTGCGCCGGCTACGCGCAAGCCTGTCTCGCTTGGTAAAATTTATGCCAACGCGATGGCCTGAACCTTCCCCGACGACAAAGCACGGATGAGGCATAAGTTTACAGAGATCAACATGTTCAAGGATCGTATTGGGACTGAGCCTGACGCGACTTCGTGGGGGCACGGCCGTCCCTGTGCCCGAGTCAGATATTAATCCGATGATGCAGCCATATAGCCAGAAGCTCTGTTACTCGAAGCCTTGAAATCTGATATGAGCCAGCATCCCAATAACAGGATGTTGGGCTTTGGATCTCTCATAGCAGGCTCATCCTTTATACAGGTTGCTTGAGTTCGTTGTCTAAGGATCAATATGATCGCCAGGGACATGCCCATGATCGGCACAACGGCGATGTCACAGATATTCATGAACGAGCACAACGAGTGGCCAGATGCGAAGATAAACAAAAAGTCAAGGCACACAGGCCCGAGAACGAGCAAACAAGCATACATCCAACTCTAATGCAGGTGGGACCGCGCCCCGACGGGCGGGACGAGAAGAGCCGAGAACGATGAAATCAATCGCAAATATCTGTTTGTTGAACTATTGAAGTACTCTGTGCTGCCCGAGGGCCTTCGATGCATGATCTGTCACCATGCCCCCTGGCACGTGGCGGCGTGGTATAGCCACACGACTGTTCGGTCAGGTTCCCGAGGCTCTCTAAAGGCCCCCACTCCCTCTTTCTAGCGCCTACCCGCATGCACCACCACCACCCCTTCCCGAGGCGCATCGGGCGTCCCGACGCCACACGGTCGGCCTCCGGGGCACCCAGGTTGCCCAAAATGGCTTTGAAGACGGCCCAGGAACACCTTCAAACTCGCCCGGACGGCTCGAGATTGCCTCCGGAAGGTCTCGAGAACCACGGAGACGACCTCAGATGCACCCAGGATCAAGACCCTCCGGGAGCCTATACGACCACATGTCGCCAAGTCCCGAATTGTGCCCCCAAGCCCCAAGCCCCGAGCCCCAAAGAGGCCCCAAGATTGCCCCATGACGGCGGGCAAAGACCCCCCCAAAAAATGCAAGATGAACAAAGACGGCCCAATGCACAACAACCCAGTGCTGGCCCAAATCGGCCTCCACCCTCCTCCTCCTCAGATCCTTCTCTTTACAGGTAACTCCTCCCTGTCGCACCCCTAGGCCGGTCGAAAGGACGGGCCAGGCGGTTCGCCTGAGACTTCCTCGCCACTTATGACTGTGATGCTTAAAAATGAGCACCAGCTTCACAGATGGAGGGTGGGTTGCTTCCAAAAAGAAGCTCTCGCCTTAGCGACGCGCACATTCATTCTAAAAAATTGCCAAAGCTTCATGGATTGAGGGCGGCTCGTTTTCACAATGTGGTTCGCGCTTTAGCGCCTCGCACATTCGTTTAGGTAAGGGAATTGCAAGAGCCTCACGGATTGAAGGCGGCTGGTTTTCAAATGTGGTTATCGCCTTAGCGCTGCGCGCATTCGTTCGAAACCTTTACAAGAGGTTCATTGATTCCCATGGCTAACGTACCAGAAACAGTCTTCGGGAGCGATATGGGATTGCCAAGGCGAGACAGTTACGTTGATTCGCAATGCTGAAGTCCCAAGGACGCTGTTTTATGGCAAGATTCAGGGCCGCCAAGACGAAATAGTCAGGTTAACTCGTGGCGTCGAAATCCTGAAAGCGGTGTTGTGGTGGGCCTCAAGATGCTAACAGAGTTGACCCCAACAGGGCACTTCCTTCAGTGGAAATGACCCCTTGCACGGGGCCTACGAAGAGATATCTTGGAGGGAGGGTGTATGTCAACATCGTTAATGAGTCTTCGGGTTACGCTGGTGTTAATCCTTCTTCTCATACCCATTCTCATCCTCCTCCTCAGGTTCTAGCAGGTGTGGCACAGGCAGCGATGCAGGCGATGGGGTGGGGGGGGCATTGGGATTGCTGGAACGACCACCACCGACGCAGTCACAAGAAACGTTTGGGATCGACGCCAGAAGCACCCGCAATGTTACAGTTGGCCTTGATTGGACAGGGCACGCGAGAGGACACAAGACCCTTCCGAGGGCCACATCGCCATAGGAGTGTAAGAAGGCACGTGTCGCGAGGCACAGGACACAAGGGTACCCTTGAGCTGGCAGGGTCGACCTACTAATCTGGGCCGACTGTACGACGACATTGGTGGGGCAAGTGGAAGTACCATTGCGACACAGTTGGCATCACCCATGATGCCAGTCGCGATGTCGACCAAATCCCCGCCAATGTGGCGCTGCACGTGCAGCGGAGAAGGGAAGCGGACGGCTCGCTTGCCGTCCCACCATACGGGGCGCGGCGAAATGCACCAGGGACGACACGACATGCACCACACAACATTCCATGACCATGAGGGCGCAACAGCCTCAATCAAAAGAGTGCATTCTAGCCTCCGCCATTCAGCGCGAGCATTGTAAACTGATTGCAGAAGTCCTAACTCAGAGACTCATAGAAGTCCTTAACTCCCTTATTCATTCCACGCGTAGCATGCCATATCCTCCTCCTCCTCCTCCTCCTCTTCCTCCTCCTCCTCCTCCTCCTCCTCCTCCTCCTCCTCCCCCTCCTCCTTCTCCTCCTCCTCCTCCTTCTCCTCCTCCTAGCCTCAGAAACACGTACCGAACATTCATTGAAGATCTACGCGCGCGACCCGATGTCTTGCCGTTGGCCGCAACATGGGATGTCTTTGACTCAGAGGAGCTTGGGTTTCTACCCCTTGCGTACTTCTGGGGACCGCCTTCCTGATCTTCTGGGAGAAACACGTAATTGTGATATGGTCCTGTTGGCAGTCACCCAACAGGTCGAGCATAATCCTCTTGCCCCGCATTTGCAGAGTTCGCATATGGGCGCCATTCCACCCAACGCCGTACAGCAACAACAGCTGCGGATGCACACTCGCCTTCAGCCCACAGGTGACCAACCGACATGCTCTACGTACTTGGCCGCCTCCCCCAGAGGCTAGAGGACGTGCTCTCGCGGCTCGCGTGAAATACAGCTCGGTGGACATGTGCGGCGTAGTCTGGTATGTCCCGCCGAGACCACGAACGCGGACCGATCATGGTGGTTATTTCAAGACTGTTGCGATTATGATAACATGGATGACGGCAGTCTGGAATCCTTTACTAGCACGGTCTACGCCGATCACCTTCAGCGACATGAACGACGGCGTTGGAGAATCTCGCACGTGGGTTCCAGTGGTAGGCGTTCCAAAGAGAGAACTGCACGCGAAAGGTGCAGGACAACATGCGCGAACGACGATGGAGACGCATGATTTTATCGCTGCCAACACATTTGGAGATTTTGAATGCACTTTTTTCCGGAGCAGCAGGTGATTCACGGATCAATTACCTATTTATTCCTCCAGTAATGCAAGGGACCCCGGTGACATGCAGATCTCACTACCGCATAGGAGCCAAGCTCCAGGCGATTCGCGGCGTCTCTCCTCGAGATCATGTACCTCATGTACCTCTTGACGCACTCTTGCGTAATCAGAGGCATGTTGGACCAGACTATCAAGGGCCACCGTTGAGAGAATTCTTGGGACGCGGAACGCATGATTGTTTACTTCACTGCGGGAGGGTCAAGGGAAAGCTGGAAATTTAGCGGAGGCGAAGGCACGTCTCAATGCCATGCGATTCACGCGGTACCGCGATTAATCACCGCCCGGTGAATTCTTCGAGACTCTGGAGGGCGCGCTGGCGCAGGCAGGTCAAGCAGCGTTTCCTCGAGCGCGCGCATTGCGCGCTCCGAAGATTGCTTGCGACGCCGCTCTTTTGCTCAGATACGGAGTGGCAAATCTAGACAGCACCGCGACATCGCTGGGCTCGAAGGAAGCGCGCCAGGCGGGCACCTGCCACTTCGATCTCCCGCAGAAGCCAGCGGTTCGCCACCGCGCGCGCCACGCGCGGCCGGCGCGCGCCCGTGGCTCGCGCGCCCTCGTGGCCCTTGGCGCCCTCCGGGAT